CTCGCAACGAGATGCTGCTTTGCATTTCACTTCAACAAACTCCGGTAACGACAACGGTTATCGCGCCGGGAATGTATTCGCCGTTCCGTACCAGCGAATGCTACAATGGCGCGGCTCCTCCCGCGTACGGGGCAACGATAAAATCACGCGGAAGCACTGCAGATCCCTTTAATTGTTTAAAGTCGCTGGCTCGAGTACTTACAAAGAACCAACGCAACGTAACCTAACAACCACGGCTTTGCGAAACGAATAGTTATCGCGTATTCTTGCAGCAGCTCGCGTTCTAGCACCGAAAAATCGAATCAATTCAACCCTTTAATTGGGGGAGAAGGAGCTCGTTCAACTTCGTCTTCTCTACAACAATGAACTTGTAGTTGATATTCTATGTTGAATTACATACAATGCATTAAAACATGAAATATTGCAGGAAAATGTTATATTATGTTCTATTATAACATTTTACCGATAAAGCGCCTCAATCAAGCAAAGTCACGAAAGAAATCACAGTGGTTAATAACTGAACTTGTAGTTGATATTCTACGTTGAATTACATATGATCTATTAAAACATGAAATATTGAAGTAAACTGTTATATTATGTTATAATATAACACTTTACTGATAAAATGCCTTAATCAAGCGAAGTCAAGAAAGAAATCATAGGGGTTGATAACTGCGCAAAGAAACATCTTACCTTTTAACACTAAAACTACCAGGTGAGTCAAAGTGACCAATTCCTAATTTCTTTTACAATTACTGCAAAGGTACAGACTATTCTTTAAGCAGCGATTAAACGAACTGATCTAGTAATAGCTGAACTGACATATAAGCCAAATCTTAATAAATTCACGTGTACAGCTTTTATCAATTTTAAAAAGATGGTTTCAGTTCGGTAGTTCTACTGTTAAACACTTGCAAAAAGAAATCATAATTATATTACGTTTTGCCATTTTCACCATTATAAAAATGGCTTGTTGCTGGTAGGTTACAAAATCAACTGGAGTGTTAAGAATTAACCCTTTGAATTCTGTAGGCTCCAATATTGCACCAGTTATAATATTAAATATTTTAATAAATCTTAAAGAAACTACCCTAAAATTATTAGATTTTCCCTACATCCGAATTTTGTACTGAGAAAAAAAATAAAAGATCGAAGAAAAATGTTATAGCATTTCTCATTTTTGTTAGGAATACTATAAAAGTTAGTTGCAGTTGCTGATAGATTACAAAACAACCTAGAGTGTTAAGAATTAATAAATTCAAATGTTCATCAGCGAAGTGTCCGTCAGCTGAACAAACGTCTCGAGCGACGTGGACCAGCGACTCAGTCGAGATCCTTTGATGAACGTGTTATCAGGTGATGTTTCGCTTTCGCGGCAGCTAGAGCTCGCTTTCTTCCCAAGTATTCCCGTCGGAATTTTAATTAATATCCTGCGGTTTACGCGGAGTCGAACGCTCGTCGGGCGGACACAAAGCCCCAGTATAAAAGGCGATACCCGAAGCCTCGCCCACGGGGCAGTTCCGTTTTTATCGGCGACGAAATGGCCCCGACTCCTTTTCAAGGCTGGTACACGGTGGACGAACGTCGGCAACGAAATCTGGGGACCGGAAATGGTGATGGGAGAAATGGCAAATTGCTGCCATTAACTACCATAGCGGCTCCTCGACGAATAGACACGTTCTAGGTTCGCTTGTGATACTGGATTTTTCTCGAGTTAACCCTTCGGAAGGTTCTTCGGGGGTTACTGGGTTCAGGAATTAAATTCGTAACATATTTTTTGCGTAGGTTGGATACTGAAGTATGGAAAATGGAGGTTTGAGATTGGAAATGTGGATGTGTTAGGGTATTGTTGATTGGATTTGTGAAAAGTAGCTTTGAAGTCGATGGAATGGATGTGGATAGCATTCGTATAATTGCAAATATTAAATATTCACATACTAAAAATTCCAAATATTAAATATTCCAAATATTAAATATTCCAAATATTAAATATTCCAAATACTAAATATTAAAATTACAATACAGTCTTTTCTCTCGAGCAGAAATCAGTTTTAATAAAAATTGCAATTTATCTTTAACCTACCGAAAGCTTCTACAAAGTAAATTCAATTTTCTTTAATACCAGTTGCTTCTAACATCTTACTACATGAAGTAACAAACGTCCAGTCTATTTATAAAGAACTGGATTTCTCCCAGTTCCTGTTCTCAAACCATCAAGAAACCTTCATGGTACCTAAAGAAATGCCACAGCAGGAGCTGCTGGTATCAACGAGCCTGACGATCGACGTTAACCCTTTCCGAACGAACGTCGATATTTTTACGAGATCGGACTTTCATACTTGGAATACTGAATTGCAAACAAACGATTTAATTACTTAAATAGCCAGGGGTCAGTACATAGTTTACATTTCCTCTATTATTTATATACAACTTATATTATAATATTGTAATAATATAATGATATTTATAATACTATAACAGTATAATAATATTGCATTTATAATAATATAATAATGTAGTAATATTTATATTACAATAATATAATAATATAATAATACTGTATTTATAACATTATAATAACATGATAATATTTATAATATTACAATAGTATAATATTTATATTACTACAATAATATAATAATATTGTATTTATAACATTATAATAACATAACAATATTTATAATATTACAATAATATATTAATATTTATATTATAACAACACAGTCATAGATGATCTGGTAGATTCAACCGAAGGTGCCGTACACTTCAAACAATCTACGTCCGCAAAGGGTTAATCAGAAAAACCAGAAGAAGCCCGTAAATAACACACAATTCACGATCCATCCAATCCATCCAATGAAGCACGTCAGCGTGTTTCATTCCCGAGGTGATTTCTAGACAGACAGGAAAACGAATTCTCTTTTCCGCGTTTGTGCGGCTCGAACGTCGCGTCAATTTCAAAACTAAATTAAGTCTTTAAATTTGCAGGATTATCGCGGGGAAACGCCAGGGGAACATAATAACTGCATGAAATCCCCGGGAGCGCGCCTTGGCCCCGGACCGTTTCATCTTCAGCGGAATTAAGCGCGGCGGCGCGCCGCTCTGCGCCGGACAGGCTTGTTTACACTTAATTTATTGATTAAAGTGTTACCTATACCGCGCCGGCTCGCTGCTAGAAAATTCCGCGATCGGCAACCGAGGGACACTTGTTGAAAGCCTAATGAATATCGCACGACTTTCTCGCTTTGCTACTGTTTCCGATGGGCGGCTGTCGTCTTGCAGTGTGCAACGTCGCGAAATGAATCTAACAAGATTTTATTGTGATAACGTGATTTATCGATGATGCATCGATGATAAACTATGTGATCTTTTTCTGGTAACTGTGTTCGATGACGTATACTTTGCTTTCTAACTGATTCTGGAAAATTATGTGTGACTAATATATTATAGTAATATTACAAATACAATATTGTAATATTCCAATATTATAAATATTATTTTACATATTATTATATTATAAATACAATATTATGTTATTGTAAATATTATTATACATACTATTATATTATAAATACAATATAATATTACAATAATACAATAATATTTGTAATAACATAATATTATACCATTATAATATTATAATATATATTGTATATAAACAACAATAAAATTGAGGATAATTTCAATATTCTGTTTTATTTGATCTTGGTTGGACTTGGATTTGACATTATTGAAACACTAGAGAACTGATGATAGTTATTTCTTTCGGAACTCCCTTAAACTGCCAGTGACAATGTTGTCGCAAAAGAAATCAGTGCTGTACAGTTTGCTGGAAAATTGAGAATAAGTCTAATCCTGCTTTCTTCTGATACTAACTTCCGAAACAAATGCAAAACTTTACAAAACTAAACCATGAGAAAACGAAGTTCCACTTCGAAACCATAAGTCGACTCCTCCAATTTCGCCTGTGAAAGTAATCGATTCGAGAGTGCCACTATCGAATCGTCATCAGAAACACCGCAGTCTCCGTGAATCTTCGCGCGACTCCCAAGGAACGGCGCATCCGCCGTGAAAATAAGAAACACTTACACGCACACGAGTAAACGGTGTTCTGTACAGCGAAAGCATGCCTCTGCCAAGAATAGAAAAGGGTGGTAACACAAACAAGAC